TTCTTCCTATGGGAGTGAACGTCGTCATCACCAGCCGCATCTGCTCGGCTTGACCCTTGTCGCGAGTACAGTAATGTTTGATGCAAAGGCTGCCCAAGCCTCGCCAGCCCATATCGCAGCTTGTTCGAGTCAGGGAGGTTCGTGCGAGCACGCCCGCATCGGTGCTAGAGCCGCCGGCACAGGAAGCCACTGTGGCCTCGCGGTTTCACTGCACGAGAACGCCCGGCCAGACCAATATTTAGGAAGTCACTGCCAGCCCATGCGTACACAGCCGAATGATTTGAGTTTTCAACAGGGAGCGTCGGCGCACTCCGCTGCAGCTCAAGGAATGAAGTACTGGCATGTCTCAGAGCAACTTCCCCCTGCTTATGTAAGGCTTGCTGGGCAGCGAAGCATGTCACGATGATGCGGAGGATGGGCCAGCAAGACTGTTCTAGCTTGCCAGCAACACGAAATCATCCCAGCACCCCCCCACAGCAAATCAGCATCTACATCGTGCCGCCGAGTCTTGTAAGAAGCTCGAAACAGAAAGAGGTCGACTTTCTCCAGACGCCTGCAACACACAGAATAGCCAGGTTGGCGGACACATGGCTGGCAGAGTTCGGTGGTAGCCAAATTGAAAAAGGCCTGGATCAAGACCACCTCAGCTGTAGTGCTCACCAGGCCACGCTCCCGACGCGCTCGTTCACCACCAACGCTGAGAATCTGAGCCTGCTCCCAGCCATTGCGCAAAACCTCAACGAAGAGCTCCTGAGTGACACACCTGACGAGCAAGGACGAAGACCCGGGCATGTCCTCTCGGCTTGCGGGAGCCCGGCGTGCATGCAGAGATACAGAGATGCCATGACGGCCGTCGCGATTGTTTCCTACTGTTGTATTGAGCAAAGTGTGTTACTTCTTCTTCAGGTATTCCTTCTCTGAGGGATGACTACATGATCAAGATGCCTCAAGGCACTCAGGATGCTACAATTAACATTGCTGTAGAGCCAGCGAACCGCCAGGAATGGTCCAAGAGTCGAGGGTGCCGAGAAGCGGAAGGACCGTGTACAGACGTACCCACCTCTGCCGCCTGCTGCTTCAGAGGTGTGCGCAGCCCCGGCCAACCCCTCCCTGGTTGGGTATTCGTTTTGAATTAAGCACCGCGGTCGCGTCTCCCTCCTCCCGACTCCGCCCGCCTCCTCCCGCCTCCTGCCTCCCGCCTCCCGTTTCCCCTCCTTCTTGTCTCCTCTTGCTTTTGCCTGGGGGGCTGCGATCTGCGAAGCCGTCGCCACTTTGGAGGGCTGCTGGTGGGTTTAGCGGGCTGAGGCGCCGCGCGGATCTGAGCGAGATCTCCGCGTTCCTTGGGGGCTGCGATCTTCGAAACTGTCGCCATTTTCGAGGGCTGCTGGTGGGTCCAGCGGAGTGAGGCACCGCGCGGATCTGAGCGAGACCTCCCCGTTCCTGGGGGGCTGCGATCTGCGAAACTGTCGCCACTTTCGAGGGCTGCTGATGGGTTCAGCGGAGTGAGGCACCGCGCGGATCTGAGCGAGACCTCCCCGCCCCTTGGGGGCTGCGATCTGCGAAGCCGTCGCCACTTTGGAGGGCTGCTAGTGGGTTTAGCGGGCTGAGGCGCCGCGCGGATCTGAGCGAGATCTCCGCGTGGGGGGGTGCGATCTTCGAAACTGTCGCCACTTTCGAGGGCTGCTGGTGGGTCCAGCGGAGTGAGGCACCGCGCGGATCTGAGCGAGACCTCCCCGTCCCTGGGGGGCTGCGATCTGCGAAACTGTCGCCACTTTCGAGGGCTGCTGATGGGTTCAGCGGAGTGAGGCACCGCGCGGATCTGAGCGAGACCTCCCCGCCCCTTGGGGGCTGCGATCTGCGAAGCCGTCGCCACTTTGGAGGGCTGCTGGTGGGTTTAGCGGGCTGAGGCGCCGCGCGGATCTGAGCGAGATCTCCGCGTTCCTGGGGGGGTGCGATCTTCGAAACTGTCGCCATTTTCGACGGCTGCTGGTGGGTCCAGCGGAATGAGGCACCGCGCGGATCTCAGCGAGACCTCCCCGTCCCTGGGGGGCTGCGATCTGCGAAACTGTCGCCACTTTCGAGGGCTGCTGATGGGTTCAGCGGAGTGAGGCACCGCGCGGATCTGAGCGAGACCTCCCCGCCCCTTGCGAACTTGTCGCCATTTTCGAGGGCTGCTGGTGGGTCCAGCGGAGTGAGGCACCGCGCGGATCTGAGCGAGACCTCGCCGTCCCTGGGGGGCTGCGATCTGCGAAACTGTCGCCACTTTGGAGGGCTGCTGGTGGGTTTAGCGGGCTGAGGCGCCGCGCGGATCTGAGCGAGATCTCCGCGTTCCTGGGGGGCTGCGATCTTCGAAACTGTCGCCATTTTCGAGGGCTGCTGGTGGGTCCAGCGGAGTGAGGCACCGCGCGGATCTGAGCGAGGCCTCCCCGTCCCTGGGGGGCTGCGATCTGCGAAGCCGTCGCCACTTTCGAGGGCTGCTGGTGGGTCCAGCGGAATGAGGCACCGCGCAGACCTGAGCGAGACCTCGCCGTCCCTGGGGGGCTGCGATCTGCGAACCTGTCGCCACTTTCGAGGGCTGCTGATGGGCTCGCCACTTTGGAAGGCTGCTTGTGGGTCCCGCGGAGTGAGGCATTGCGCCGACCTGAGCGGGACCTCGCCGTCCGTGGGGGGCCATGTCATGTTGTTGCTGCCCCGCCGACGTTTCACGCCCCTTGCCCTCTGTCTCCTTTTGGACCTTGCGTCTTCCCAAGTGACTCAGGGGTTCACTTAGTTGCTCATCGTTTTTCCCTTGATGGGGACCTGCGAACCTTACGAATGCCGCACGCAGAAGTATATGCGTTCATGTCACGTCGCCGCCTTCTCGTCAAATCTCCCAAGCTACTCCTGCCCCGCATTGCGCAGGGGTTGGGTACGTCGCCAGGGTAATTTTTAGTACCTGCTGCTGCTGCGGCGGCTCGGGATGACGAACACATCGACCGCACCGGCGCCTCCGCGCGGCATCGGTGCCCGATGAGTTCAGGGGCGGCAAAGAGGGGGGTGATGACCAGGGGGGGGTGGACATCATGGCGTGGGCCATGATTTTCGCCAGATTTCATGGCGCCTCTTCTTTTTTTAATGCGTCCCTGGCCCACCCCCTGGGCCGCGCACATGCCGCCGGCCATGATTTGCGCCCCCCCCCCCTCTTTGACGGTCCCCTCTTGGCCGCCTCCGATGAGCCGAAACGGCGTCGGTGACACCTACACGTTCGCAATGCAATAGCTCTCTGTTCTGCCCACAGCCCCGCATAAGCGGACAGGAGTGAACGGCAGCTCAGGGCACGCAAGCGTGGCGAGAGAAGGATTCGCGAGAGCGGGAGCACTCTACTCCGGCGACTCAGGGCGGGCAGAAGGAAAACACAGTTCTTCCCCCGGCTTCCCCTCTTTCTCATAGATACTTCCTCCCTGCCTCACCACGACTTACCTCGAAGCCAGACATTCCTAACAGCTAGCACGGTTGGATCACGGGGTGATTTCAAACTGGGCTTCTCCCCGTTGGTGCCGCGCACACAAGTCTTACACAAGTCTGCCAGTTACACGGGTGGAGGGCGATTCGTTTTCTTCAAATTGAGGCGCTCGCCCTGGTGCCTTGCACACGCGTCTTACCAGAGTGCGCGACGGCTCCACGGATAGATGGCTGTATCTTTTTTTGGGGGGGTGGAGATTTAGGCACCCGTCGGAGACTCTTCAAATTGTAAAGTCCGACCGACGTTCACAACATCTTGCAACAGTTCAACGAATGGGGGGCGGCTAATTTTTAGACCAGGTCTCTCGCTTCAGGCTCTCTCGACTACGTCGACCACTTCAGTACCTGTGCAGCGCTTACACGGGTGCGGGGCAGACCCTCTTCAGGTCGTAGCTCTCGCTGGGCATCTCTTTGAACCTTCTGACCCCGCCTCTTCTTTGCATCTCTTACAGCCGGGAGGGATGGAAGGCGGATCCTTTACAGAATTCGAAGAACAAATCACGGCATCTATATATATACACACATCTCTACCTATATTCTGTGTGTATATATATATACTTTTGGTAGTCCGCGCGGATTTTTTGGCTCCGCGCGGGTCCCCTGGCGGCGCCTCCGGTGCCGGCCCTGGCGCCAGAGGCACGCCAGGGAGGGGGGTCCAGCGCAGATCCAAGAGATCCATACGGACCTCCGAAATTGTATGCTGATGCCGTCGTTTCTTCTTCCAAGAGCGGGGTCTCGCCCGAATTTCATGGTGCCAACATCGCAGAGCGAATTTCGTTCGGAAAAACAGAATGGGCCCGGAGTGTCTTGGAGAATTTCGTTCCAGACTTCGTAGCGAATTTCGTGTGGACTTTTTCGGCCAGGAGTGAAGACTTGAAAAGCCCCGGAGCCCGCGCGGGGTTCACATATCTCTGAAGTTAGACCGCCTCGCGGAGCCGCCCGAGGAGACAGACGCCGCGACTCGCCCTCTCTCCGACTATGTACAGTCGTCGTGCTACCATACTGTGGAACTCCAGTGTTTCCTCCTTCTCCTCCTCCTCCTCCTCCTCCTCCTCCTCCTCCTCCTCCTCCTCCTCCTACCTCCTCTTCCTCCTCCTCCTCCTCCTCCTCCTCCTCCTCCTCCTACCTCCTCCTCCATACAGTCGTCGTGTACTCCAGGTATCCCGATTTTCTTAATAAGCGTCGCGGGGGCGTCACCCCCGCCGACAGCCCCACATCTACCCCCGTCGCGGGCAGCGATCGCGTGCCGAAGGCGCTCCGACCTCCGTCGCGGCCCGACGACGAGGCGAGGTTGACCCCCGTCAGGGGGGTACCCCCCACGCTTATTCAGAAACCCAGAGTAGGGAACAAAGGGTCTTTCCTGGCCACGGAACTTCGGTCTCGAGGAGGTTTTCCCGAATCAGGTCCAAGAGACGGCCCGAAGACCAGAGCGCCTCCCGAGCTCAAAGTGGTGCTTATTTTCAGCGCTCCCCTCTCCTGCGCCCTGTGCCTGCCGCGAGGACCCCAACAAGCGACCCACTGGCCCAGCCGGCGTGATGGCGGCGCGGCTGCAGTTCCAGCAGCCGCGACCAGCGGAGGGGATGGCGCGAAGGCTACGCGAAGGAGGCGACGACGACGATCGAGGACGACCGAGGACGGGGGAGACAGCGAGAGGATGGGGGATCGACGGCGACGATGGGGAGAGAGACAGTCTGATTTTTGCTAGTGATTTGTTTATTCGGTTGTCGCGCCTGTCTGGGGCTTCCGAGCGTGGTGGGTGGGTGGGTGCTTGTGGCCACGGTTGGACGCAGCTCGAACAATTGGCCAGGGCGTTGTCCAGGAGGGGTCCTGGACCGATTATGAGCGAAAGCGGATAGACCGACCCAGTCCTCCAGGCGCTGCGGAGAAGTCACGGCGGCCAGTCGTGCCCGAGTCTGGGACTCTGCAGGGCATTCCGTCGGCCTAGCAGGGACATATTAATATACGAGGGGTGGAGGTGAGATTTGTGTCGCGGTGCGAATGGAACTGATGGCATACAGGAAGGGAGCGTGATGTTGCGAGCTTTCGCAGCCAAACCCTGTGGAGCAGATTCCAGCGGTTGTGGGACGCCTAATGGCCTTCGCCACCGTGCCTGGGTTGTGGGTCAGAGCTCTCAGGGATGCTTTTTGTGTTCTCTTCGGAGCCTCTTGGGAGTCTCTTGGGGCCTCTTGAGAGCCTCTTGGGAGCCTCTTGGTAGCCTCTTGGGGGCCTCTTGGGGCCTCTTGGGGGCTTTTTGGGGGCCTCTTGGGACCTCGGGGGCTCATCGGGGCCGAGGGCTCGAAATGTCCGTTCGGGTCTCCCATCCGTGCCCCATCTTGGCAATGTCTTTGGGGCCGCTTGGGCCGTCTTGGGCGTCTCTTGGGCCGTCTTGGGGCCCTCGTGGGCCGTTTAGGTGCCCTCTTGGAGGCCTCTTGGGCCGTCGTGGGGCGATCTTGGGGGCCTCTAGGGCCGTCTGGGAGCGCGGGGAAGCCGAAAAGGCGAGATCGCCAAAAACCTCCAAGCACACACGGACAATTAGTAGTTTTGGCCTCTTGGGTTCCCCTTCGGAGGCCTCTGAGAGGCCTCTTGGGGCGTCTTGGAGGCCGTCTTGGCCCGTCTTGGGGTCATCTTTGGCGTCGTAGGGTGTCCTTGGACGTCTCAGGTCCTTCTTGGGCCGTCTTGTTGGCCGCTTGAGGCCCTCTTGGCCCGTCCTAGGGCCCGCTTGGGCCCGAAGAAGTCATGCGAGAAGATGCCAGGAACTCCAGGGGCCACGCGAGGAACCCGAGTAGATTTGGCAATTTGAGCTCCGGGCCCCTTAGAGGCTCTTCAGGAGTGAGGACTGGGGCGTAGAGGAGTAGGCAAAGGGCCTGAGGACACGCCCACTCCGTGCCCAGAGTCGGGATCCCGCAAAGGGGCTGCGTGCCCGCGCGTGTGTGTGTGTGTGTTTGTGCGTGTGCGCGCGTGTGTGTGTGTGTGTGTGTTCGTGTGTTTGAGTTTCATTGGCTGTTGCACCGAACCGCCCAAAACAGATGTCCCCCAGCCGCCAGCAGCTCCCGATTGTTGCCGATAGGTTGGGTATGCGGGGGGCGTCGGATTGCGGCGCAGCGGTGCACCAGCGGATCGAACTCATGCCCCCCGTCAGGATCCCCCCCCTATGTGGATCCCAACAAAGGCACGGTGGCGCATTGGCGTGCATGAGTAGTTGTCCAAAGGAATGCTGGTTTCGCTGGTACTTGGGTTCAACTCGGAGCTCGGTCAAACATCGATACGGCTGTCAAGAGGTACGGGTCGCCGTTCCGATGCAATAACATGGATGCAACATGCAACTGTGACGATATGGATTGATCGGCAGAAGTTTTCGGTAAGCTCGTTCGATGCCAGACAACATGATGACATCCCGTCGAAGCGAAGTGTCACACGCGTGCATTAATGCTTCTTTGGAGTAATTCATCTGGAAACTCTGCCTGACCGTTCGCAGGGGTCAGGGTTCTCAGGAGCCGCTTCAACGAGACAACGAGTTGCAATGCATTTCGTCTGTGTTCAGTCGACCCGGCGCCGTGCGTTGCTGTTGGTTGCTTCCATAGGAATGTGCCGTGTCAACCGATTCGTGCAAATATCAGCGGTCAGGAGTATCCGCATTCCGTTGCGTGCAGAGATTTCGATCAATGGTATGCGGTCGTTGGCTCATGCTTCGACATTAGCAGGTGCTGCGTTCGAATCGGAGCGCGGAAGACATGGCATCGCGATTCGTGATGTGTTTACCACTGGATGGAGTTGGAAATCGAATCAGTAGGGGTTTCACGTGCTTCTGGTCGAGCCGTATTGCGGCTCGAACGTGGATCTCGATGCCTCCGATCAGGGCCGGATTCTCTTCCAGGTTCCGAGGGATGGACGAGGTTTGTCCGCCCCATCGGCGTCACCCCACCATACTAGTACAATGTGTGCGTCGGCCCCCTTGTGGCGACGCGCGCACCGAGAATTCTTATAGTATATGCATCGTGGCGGGCGCTTTCTGGCCACACCGCTCGGGAAACGATATACTACAAGATGGGTGTACTGCATGTTCGGGTCGGACGTGCGCCTCCAAGGGGGCACGACACATAGATTTGTATGTGTCTGTGCTCGACGCGCGGCTGTTCCGCAGCCAGGCTCGATGGTCGTACCTCCGACCCGACTCGTCGGGGTCCTCCTCACGACGACGGCGACGGCGGCGGCGGCGACGACGACGGCCATGGTGCGCTGCACGGCTGCGACGACGACGATCCGTCGCGTCGTTGTCGCCGTCGTCCTCCGCGCGCCCACCACCTGCGCATGGCTTCGGTGTTCGCCGCCTTTTCTCTTCTTGCTCCTGACCCCTGGTCTCTTCCTGGTCCCTGCCACTGCTCCTCCCCGTCCCAGCCCTCATCCTCATCTCGCCCTCGCCCTCGCCCTCGCCCTCGTCCTCGTCCTCGTCCCCGCTGTTGTCGTCGTCGTCGTCGTCGTGCAGCTGCTGCTTCTTGCTGCCACGTCCTCGCAGCCACGCTCCTCCTCGCGAGAGCATGGCAAACAGTGAGAGAGGGGGCCGCCGGACGGGAGGCCCGGCCGGTGGCAATGGGCATGCAGCGCCCCATGGCGCCCTCCTCGGGAGCAGAGCCACCTGGCCTTACACACTTCTGCTATGTGTGCGCTGGTCCCACAGGGCCGACTCGCGCAGTGAGCAGTCCTGCAGCATGCGCTCCTCTTGCGGGCGTGTTCTGGCGATGCCGCTTGGACAACGCCATGCTGCAAGATGGTTGTACACGCCAGTTGTTGAAAGCGGGTTCTTTCGGATCCCATATCCCAATCTATTTTAGCCGCCTTCCTACTTCAAGAGCCGAGCAGTTGCCTCTCTTCCATCCTCTTCAGGGGGCGGGCGGAACTCAGTTTTTTCCAACGCCTTTCTTCTTCCCGGTTCTACTTACAGTGAGGGCCAAGCCAAGAAACACCCTGTTTGCCTCCAGGGTGCCCTGGGTTTCTTGATTTCGACGGTTTTGCTATGGAAAGCGTGACGTTCCCACACCAAATATCCGTGGACGTCCTGGGGTTTCAGGGTTGGGTTTCTTGTGGAAGGCTTCTTGTGGTCGAGCTCCTACTGTAATCACGCTGGTCGTTGAAACTAGGCATTCGTGGACGCCCAAATCCTAGTATACTTTCGGCGCCTTCCTACTTCACAAGAGTCGAGTGGTTGTCCCTCCTCCGTCCTATTCCCGAGGCGGGCGGAACTACAATCTGCTTCCAACGCCTCCCTATTTCATGTTCCTACCCACTTCTTCCAAGCGACTGGTCTAGGCCCCCGTGGCCTAGGCGTGGGGGTGTCTGCACCAATGGGTGCGGTGCTCGCGGTGGGCCTGGCCAGGGCTAAAGTGGTGGTGCGGTGCTCGCGGTGGGCCCGCTCCTCTTTCCCCCCCGCCCCCTCCCCCCCTCAAAATCGACCCGCGCGCTCTGATCAGGATCTCGAGGCAGATTCGGCCGTGGCGCCGAGGGTACCCCCACGAGGGGCCCAGTTGACCAGGAGGAGGAGGAGGAAGAGGAGGGAGGACGAGGAGTACTTTTTTTTCTCCTCAATCCTCCATCCTTCCCATCTGCCGCCTTCATCTTCAATCCCCCTTCCCTTGCTTCTCCCCAGTCCCTGCACATATGATACATCGCCCCTCTTCTTCGCAAGACTTGCCGGTGGGGCGGCTGGGCGTTTCGCTTGAGACTTCCTCGCCATCTATGACCCTGATGTCTCACTACTCCAGCAGTTACACCCCTGGACAGCGTGTCCTTTCCACACTATGGCTTGTGCCTCAGCTCCGCGAGCATTCGTCTAGTTCAAACAACTACAGGGATGGATGTCGGGCCATTTTCAAAACGTTCTCGCCTTAGCGCCGTGCGGACAACCGTCTTACAATCTCCCATCGGTTGCAAGTCTGGAGGACGGATCGTTTTTAAATGTGGGTTTCGCCTTTGCGCAGCGCGCCGCACAATTTGTAAAAAGCTGCCAGCTGTCAGAAGTATGGAGGGCGGCCCGTTTTTCAAATGTGGCTCTCGCACTAGCGCCGCGAACATTCGCCCTAACAGTTTCCAGCAGCTTCAAGTCTGGAGGGCTGCTCAATTTTGAGAAGAAGCTCTCGCCTAACATCCAGCTGCCTGCGGCAAGCTCTGCCACCGTGCCAGCCTGGCACTGTGCGGCGTTTGTTCGAGGAGCGCACAAGAATCTGTCGCGTGTGACGTCTCGTGCCCCGTGGCCAGGCAGAGCCGCGAAGTGTGACGCGCTCTCTCGCGCCGTGTCGAGGTGTGCCTCCTCCTGTGTGGGTCGTCGCCTTCCTTCCCTTCCTCGTCTTCCCTCCTCTCTCTGGGCCCCTGGGAGGCCGCTTCGAGGCCTCCCGGGGACGTCTTGGGGGCCTCCCGGGGCTCCTTGGGTCGTCTTTGGGCGTTTCCGGGCCGCGTGTCGCCTTCGCCGTCCGTCTGCGGCCCCCTTGCGGCCTGCAGTGTCGTCTTGGAGGCCTCTTGGGCCATGAGGGCCTCTTGAGCCCTCTTTCGGCGGCGAGCGAGGGGGGTTCGAGGTTTTCATACGTTCGAGGTTCGAGGTTCTCAGACGTTTTCGTCGGTTCTCGGCGGTTTTCCAGCCGCGGGATGCTCGCCAGCAGCTGCGCCTCGCCGCGGGCGTTCAGGAGATTCCGGGATCGTCCCGAACGGCCGCCGGAGACCCGAGTTATGACCCAAAAACGAGATTCGGCGGCGCGCCCACGGGGAATTGAGAAGGAGAAGGCCTTCTAAGAAGCGGCGGGACTTTTCAGAAGCCCTCGCCCCTTCTCAGAAGCTTGTTTTGGTTTTGGGGAAGGCTCAGAAAACTTCTCAGGAGGCTGGGGGACTTTTCCGAGCCTTCTGAGAAGGCCTTCTCCTTCTCATTTCCACCCCTCGCTCGTCGCCAACTCTTGGGCTGTCTTGGGACTGCTTGCGAAGTTTCCTGGACCGACTTGGGCTGACGGAATCCAGACAACTGAGACGGCGAACGTTTCTCAACCAGTACAGGCGCACACATGCTTTTGACATATTCTGGCCCTGCTGTGCGTCCTCCTCCCGGAGCACTCTTGGGTCGTCTCGGGGGCCTCTCAGGTTTTCTTGAAACCATCTTGGGCCGTCTTGGGGCGATGTCGTGCTGTCTTGGAGGCATCTTGGGCCATCTCGGCGGCCAGGATGGCCTGCATCCTGGGAGGCTTTTCTTGGACGCCCTGGGGAGCAGCGCCATGGAATCGTCGGGCCGTCCAGCGAGCTTCGGGTGTGGGGGGGGGGGTCGATGGGATGGGGGAGTGGTGGAGTGGTGGTGGTGGGGGATTCGAAGACTTACATGACCACTACTAAACAGCACTTGGCATTCTACCACACCTTAATGTGTGAGGGGATATGGTTGTGGATTTCTTGGATTAGGAAAGTCATGCAGCAGTTCTAGGTTGGGTGTAGGTTGATTTGCCAAGCATGGCTCTTGTTTGTGACACGTTGGAGTGTATGGCCACAAGTTTCAGATGGTGCAACAGTTGCACGTACGAATGGTGGCTCATTTTCAACACCGGGCTCTCGGTCGACACAGTTTCGATGTTCCAACCCTAGTCCTTTGGGTTCTCGTTTTGGAATAGCGCTCTGCGCTCGGAACTCCTTGCTTCCCGCCGCCCTTCTCCTATCTCCTTTCCTCCTCTTTTCCCTCCTCCTCTCTACTGCCTTGACCTGTCTCCTACCTGCATGCGAATCTGCCTCCCAACTCGCATTCGCTGGGGGGGCTGCGTAACGTGAAGCTGTCGCCAAGTTCGAGGGTTCCTGGCGGGTCCAGCGGATCGACGCCTTACGCAGATCCAGATAAGACCTCGCCATCCCTGGCGGGCTGCGAACTGTGAAACTGTCGCCACTTTCGAGGACTGCTGGAGGGTCCAGCGGAGTGACGCCTGATGCAGATCCATATTCGACCTCGCTATCTCTAGGGGGCTGCGACCTCGCCATCCCTGTCGGGCTGGGAACTCTGAACATGTCGCCGCTTTCGAAACCGCCTGGAGGGTCCAGCGGAATGGCCCCTTACGCAGATTTGCATTTGATCTCGCTATCCCTGGGGCGCTGCGACCTGTAAAATTGTCTCCACGTTGGAGGACTGCTGGAGGGTCTTGCGACGTGACACCTTATGCAGGTTCAGACTCGACCTCGCTATCCCTGGTGGGCTGCGACTTGTGAAACAGTCGCAACTTTCGAGGACTGCTGGAGGGTCCAGTGGAGTGACGCCTTACGCAGGTTCATGTTAGACCTCGCCTTCCCTTGGGGGCTGCGACCTGTGAGTCAGTCGCCACTTTCGAAGTCGGCCGGGTATCCAGCGGGTGACGTCTTACGCAGGCTCAGATTAAACCTTGTCGTCGCTGAGGGGTCTTTGAACTGTGAGTCTGTCGCCACTTCCGAGGGCTGGTGCGGGCTCTGGCGGAGCGACCTTTTGCTATGTTTGCTTTTCTCCCCTCCCGTCTATGTGACAGGCAGGTGCACCACAGCCATCTGGCTTTGGGGCGCACTCTCGCCTGTGAGCAGACTGTGCGTACGATGTTCTCTTGCTGTTGAGAGAAAGGCTCTCTTGTGCTCTTGGTGTCCCCTCTCGTTCCACGCCTTGAAACAATGGTAGCCGGAGCGCAGATGACAACGCCGCGGGTGATGGAGAGCCGACTCTGACAGTATCAGCGGGCACTCAGATGACACGAAATGCTCCAGGTGCAGACGCTCATGCAGTGGATCTCCTAATCGCAGGCGATCCATGGGAGCAGCTCTATAGCCTACGAAGAAATGCTGGGGGGTCAGGACGGAGCCGCAGCGGGCGTAGCAGACCAGACCCAAGGGCAGTCCGCACAGTAGCAGCGAGAAGGAACCATTCCGGTGGTGGAGCCACCAGTGGACAGATTGGCAGTGGGATTGACAGTGGACTGTCTGGGCCAAGGACTGGTGCAACACGGGGGAGGACGACAAGTGGTCCAATTTAGAACAGCACGAACCAGTCAATCGAGGTTTGTCATCGCCACCTGCTTGGCACGGCTTGCAATATCTTGATCTGCACGCTGCCAGCCTGAAGTCCTGGACCAAGTGCACGGGGCTCAAGGCCGACATGCAGGCGAGCAGAGATCTATATTCATTCTCTGTGCAACTCCAGGCCAAGTTCCAGTCGACCACGCACCTGTAAGACAACGCCGACGGCATTACCAAGCTAGTCACTCACTTGCGCCTTCTCAACGGAGAGCGTCCAGGAGACAAAGCGCGAGAAGCTCGTAACAGCTTCCCTCTTCGATTTTGACATCAAGAGGGCATTACCGACCCTGGCTGGTTGCGCAGCAAGTTAAATACAACCCTAAAGAACAACATATTTGCAGCCACCCATCCATTAGAAACGCAAATGTCTCCCTGGCAGCTACCCAGAGGGTAGGGCATAACCGAGGGGAGCTTGATGAAGGTCTAAAGCTGGGGCTCATTGATGCCAAGCGGGGATACTTTTACGCCACAGCCAAACAGAACACCTTCATCAGGGTACCCGAAGAAGGTCGTGAACCGGGCTTGTGCGGAAGTTTGTTAAGACCGACATACGGAACCCGAAGGCCGCCAGCAAATGGGAACATTGCCACATGGAGTTTGCACGTCGTGTCTTTTTTATGATTCAGGGAAATCGCCCCCATGTGGTTCTCGACACAGGACAAGGCAAATCTGGCTAACGGTGCACAGGGGTGATTTTCTTTATTGGGTAGGGATGTAGACGTTGACTGGTTCCAAAGTGAAATCAAGGAGAGGTTCGAAGTTGAAATCCGAGGCGCGCGCGGGCATCGGCCAGCATATTCGAACTCGACAAGGTTAGATGTGAGATGCCAGGTTGAGAGCACCGTACGAAGAAGAGGGCGAGGAATTCCAAGTCGTGCAATTTTTGAAATGCCAAGCAAGCCTCAGTGGCCCGGGCAATTGGTCTTGCACAGGACCTTTCGGACATACGGTTTTGAGTCATGGCTCTTTTGCGCTCAATGTCAGCTCCAGACGGGCGGGCATGGACAAGTCTCACAACATGACAGGTGTTGGTATCAGTATATATATATATATCAAGAACGAACCTTGGAGTTCACTGTGTTGACAAACGCCGATTTTGCATCGTGCAAAACACGCGAGTCGACAAATGGAGGGACACTTATGTGGGGATCGCATTCGATAGAGGCATGGAGTTCGACCCAAAGTGTCGTAGTTTTGTCGCCTGGAAACGCAGAACATGTCGGCATGGTTGGCAGTGCCCCTGTAGTAGTAGGACCTCAAATCAATTTTCAAGGACTTCTAGATTGACAGCGGTATCCCCTTAAAGAGCGATGCGAGTGCAGCCATTGCCATTGCGAGCAGGCGCGTGTTAGAACAGGTCGGACACATGGAGGTCTGCCCATTTTCGTTACAGGCGAGAGAACGACGAGAGGAAAGTGATCAGAGTAGGGACCCACGAGAATCTCACACATGCTCTAACTATGTCAGTGAGCATAGGGAGCATGCCAATGCATATGCGAAGTATTGACCAATACCTTGTTAGCGAACGGCACGAGCTTGCTCCCGCCACGGATTGTTAGCTACATCCAGATCCCGGGTATCATCGCGTGCCGCTTTGCTGGGTGTTTGAGCTCAGGACCAGTTGGGCTCCATGTGCTCGTCTACGCGTCTTACATCATATGCTACATAACATGTTAATCATGTTGCATGGCTCCGGAATTTTGCGACACTTATAAAAGTGCACCGCGTGTTCGGAATTCCCTGCACGTGTGCGCCCACATCATCGTCGTTTGTTGCTTGCACCTGTTGTGCTTGTCTTTGTCTCCTCATGCGGATGGTTCGGATCGCACTTTAGTTTGCCGCGCTGCGTTGGGGATTCGGCCGCTGAACGCTTTGAAGTCATCAGTGTTTATTATCGTCCAGTTTGCTTGCTGTTTTCCTCTCCCCCGCCGCCTCATTCGGCCAAAATTGGCCGAAAAGGGCTTTTGTTCATGGCGTCACGACGGGGTGAAACGGGTGCACTTGTCCAGCACGTCGGCATCGTACGGAACTCGCCCCGCCAGCGTTTGGCCCAAGTGCTATCGCCCTCTCTTGAACAAAGTCCTGTCGTATTTTCAGAAGGAGGAGGAGGAGGAGGAGGAGGAGGAGGAGGTGGACTAGGAGGAGGAGGAGGCGGAGGAGGAGGAGGAGGAGGAGGAGGAGGAAGAGGAGGAGAACCAGGAGCAGGAGGAGCAGGACAAGGAGGAGGAGGAGGAGGAAGAGGAGGAGGAAAAGGAGGAGGCTGAACAGGAGGAGCACGACGAGTAGGAAACGGGAGAAATGACTTCAATGATGCAGGAGGATGGGTGGAGGTCGTAGGGAGCATGCAGGAGAGCAGGGAAGGAGAAGCCGGGGGCAGGCAGGGGGAAAAGGATGCGCCGAGCTTTTTTTGTCCCGCTCCCGCACCCCGGCCGCCGCGCCTGCTGGGCCTCCCGAGGTGGTGGGCCCGCGCCCCGTGCTGGGCAGACCGCCGATGATGGTCCAGGGCCCCGCCCAGGGCGGCAAGGGTTTCCGGCCGCCCGTCACGCCAGGCGGGGCCCAGGGTCGGAGGACGAGGAGGAGGAGGAAGGGCAGGGGGAGGAGGAGGAGGAGGAGGAAGAAGAGGAGGAGGCGGCATGACGCGCTCTGCTTGCAGCTCGATCACCTCGAACTACCCTGAGAGAGTCGTGTCTGCCTGTTCCTCGCGACCATGCGAGAACCTGGGTCCCGTGGCTGCCAGGGGCCTTCCTTGTTCCCGTGGCCTGGTCAGGCCTGCCTCGGGGCGCGGCAAGTCTGGCCACCAGCCCAGCATTCTGGGTGACGACGGTTCGACGGGGCACGGGAGATCTTCACGTGTGACACCTCGTGTCTCCAGGCTTGGCACAGCCGTGATGCTGCTGCTGCTGATGATGATGATGATGCTGATGATGATGATGATGATGATGGTGGTGATGATGATGATGATGATGATGATGACTATGCGGATGCTGGGGATGCTGCTGCTGATGATGCTGCTGATGATGACGATGATGCTGATGATGGTGCTGATGATATGATGATGGTGCTGATGATGCTGTTGCTGTTGATGTTGATGATGGTGGTGAGGATGCTGTTGATGCTGCTGCTGATGATGATGATGCTGATGCTGTTGATGCTGATGACGATGCTGACGACGATGCTGATGATGATGCTACTGATGGTAATTCGGATGATGTTGGGGATGCTGATGATGCTGCTGCTGATGATGTTAATGATGCTAATGGTGATGATGCATATGCTGTTGCTGCTGCTGCTGCTGATGATGATGATGATCACGATTATGACTGTGACGATGCTGATTGTGCTGGTGATGGTATGATGACGATGACGATGATGACGACGATGCTGGTGGCGATGCTGATGCTGCTGATGACGACGATGCTGATGCTGTTGATGATGATGAGGATGCTGATGGTGATGATCATGCTGCTGATGATGATGCTGGTCATGCTGATGAAATTATGATGCTGCTGATGCTGATGCTGCTGCTGCTGATGCGGATGATGATGATGCTGCTGATGAGGATGATGATGATGGTGGTGGTGATGACGCTGATGATGATGTTGACGATGCTGACTATGATGATGATGATGATGATGATGATGATGATGATGATGATGGTGATGATGATGCTGCTGATGATGATAATGATGATCATAGTGTTGATGCTGTTGCTGCTGCTGCTAATGATACTGCTGATGATGACGATGACTCTGATGATGCGGATGATGATGCTGATGATGACGCTGATGCTGCTGCTGCTGCTGCTGCTGATGATGATGATGATGATGATGATGATGATGATGATGATCATTATGATTCTAGTGTTGACGATGATGACGACGATCATGCTGATGCTGCTGATGTTGATACTGCTGCTGGTCATATTATGGTCATGGTGGTGGCGACGACAACGACGAGGAGGAGGAAGAGGAGGAGCAGGAGGAGGACGAGGAGGAAGAGGAAGAAGAGGAGGGCGGATGAGGAGGAGGACGAGGCGGAGCAGCAGGACGAGGAGGACGGCCGTCAACTGTGTCACCTTTTGACTTCACTATTTCGGGGTCCCTTGGGGTCTTCTGTGTCGTCTTGGGGCCCTGTTAGGTCGTCCTGGGGCCCTGTTCGGCCGTCTTGGGGCTCTTTTCGGCTGCCTGGGGGCCCTCGAGGCAGTAGGATGGGATGCCTGGGAACCGTCGTGGGGTTATCTTGGGGCCGTCTTGTAACGTCGAAGGCTTTCTAGGGCCGTCTTGGGTCCCACGGGAGGCCCTTGAGGGGCCGTCTTGGATGCTTCTTGGGCCCTTCTGGGGTCTCCTGGAGCGACCTTTGGACCCTCGTGGGTCCTCCTTGGGCCGTCTTGGGGCCATCTTTCAGGCGTCTTGCGCCGTTTTGAACTGACGAAAGCTCGAACCGGTGAGAGTGTGACGTTCGTTCAACAAGCACAGGGACATCAAGGACCTTGGCTTCTTCGCACCCTGTTGGGGATCCTCATGTTGCCCGTTTGGGCTTTCTCAGGGGCATCTTTGGCCATCTTGAGGCCCCAATGGGTCGCATTGGGGCCGCCTTGGCCCGTCTTCGAGGCATCCCAGGTCATCTCGGTTGCCTTGGTTGCTTGTCTGGGCCGTCCTGGAAGCTGGGGATGTGGATACAGAGTTTATTACGAGGGTTCGTGGCCTCCTGAGCGCTGATCCATTGTTTTTGTTGTATGACGGATCGATGCGTCGGGCAGGGGGGGGGGTCACGTAGCATATTGTAGAGGGGGGAGGGTCCTTTTGTGAATGCTGAAGCCCAACAGGGTGGCACCTGGCATGACGAACAGCGCGACGTACGAGTGATGACGTTTTGGTGGGCCGAAACCCTCTGATTAGTGGTTCTGTGGGTGACACGATCGCCCCGCCCCCAAGATAGCTCAAGAGGCCCCCCAAAACAATGAAGAGGTCCCCGAGGACGGCCCAAGCGAGGTCTAAGAGGGCTTTCCGTAGCCATTTTGGCTCAAGGCGTGTCGGCCCGAGGACATACTCCCTTGCACTAGCACTTGCAAATGGGTAGCATGCGCCGACAGGTATCGATTTCCGCATCGAGTACAGTGAACGTCGAATCGGATAGCGATGTAGACGTGGAGAGTTTGGGCGGTGGGGAGGCTGCGTGCAGGAAATAGCGCTCGCACCATGGCATTTGGTGTTCTTTGTGCTCGGCACGGGTTTAGAATTGCCTTACCAGGCTCTCATCTTGGCAGTTGATTTCTTCAAGGATCACTTCGACGGCGGGATTGTGTACAGTGTGACCGTCGCTTTCGACCCGACAGCGTTGCTCACCCTGGTCCTCTTGATGAAGGGCCTCGACGCGTGGCTGTGCTCGCGGCATTTGCGCTGTGCGGTGGTTTTCATGTTCGAGGCCTTTCTGCTCATGTGCATCCACGCGTTGTCAAGCTTCAAGCCCGTTGCGTTGCCAGCCACGCTCGCTTGCGTCAGCGCCATCGGTGTGGGCACAGCTCTCCAGCACTTCAGCGTTTTTGGATTCGCCGCGGAGAGTTACCATCGTTGCGTCGCTTCACTTTCATCGGGCCTCAACTTCTCTGGCGTCATCGCATCTCTCATTCGCTTGGCTACAAAGTTGCTGGACACAGGGCACTTCGGCCACGGCATCGATCTTGAGGGCGCGTACTTCGGGTTCACTGCAATGTGGCGCTTGGCTTGCGCCGCCATCGTGCTTGGGATCTCGCCGCTTGATGCGTGGAGCTATTGCTGCTTACAAGAGGATAGTGATAGTCAAACAACTCAGCAGGATCAAAGCGTCTTGGACATGGTCTGGTGGCACTTCTGGCTGACCGTCGCGTCCCTTACGACGACCTACGCGGCCGTCCCAGGATTGTGCTCCAGCTTGGAGTCAAGCTTTCCGCTCTTGCAGCGCGACGAGTGGTTCTCTGTGTTGTTGGTCTGTGAGTTTACCTTGGCCAACTTCCTCGGCTCCTTTGGCCCCGAAGTGCCGGGCGGCCTCAGCAGGCCACGGGCTCGGCTCTGGATGCGTGTGAGCCTGCCAGTCCGCGCGAGCGGCGTTGGCCTGCTGGCGGTCCTTGCGAATGCGCGCGCTCGCTGGCCCCTGGACTGGGTCCCCCGCCTGCTAAGCTCCTTGGGCTTCTCGAGCGGATACCTCGTGGCGCAAGCTGCAGAGGGCGCTACGGAGGTCGTGGAGGAGAAGGACCGCAAGCGAGCCGGCGAGCTGCTCAGCCTCGCCTTCAGCGTTGGCATCGCAGCGGGTACCTCATTGGCATTCCTGGGAGAGAAACTGGGCGCCGTTCCAGCTTGACTCGCCGCCCGCACGTCTGGCACTTGAGTCTGTTCCGCTTTTCGTTGTCATTGGTGGCGCATGTCGGCAAAATGTGGCACCCGCAACGCGCAGTAGTGAGTTGTGGTGTTTTCTCCTATCCAGGCCCGAACCCTGAATGGTGAATCTGTTAACGTCGATGCCGTCCGACCTGCGGCTTTCTCTTTTCCGCCTCTTATGCTCGCCTTTCTCAATCGGCCATTGCTGCGCCCAGACAATTCCATCGAGTCTCCGATTGTTCGGCCCTCGGCCTGAAGTCGCTACGTGTCGGAGGGATCACAATCCTTGGTCAAGGACGTCGACAGCGACAGTAGTCTAAATGTCTCAGTCACAATATTGTCAGCTGCATTGACTGTTCTAGAACTTCGACAGTGGCTACATGTTCCGCGACGTCTGATGCTAACACTTCTATTGAGTTGTGCGCATAAGGCTATGTCATCACATAGCTTCGACCACATATATATTGAAACACAACGCGGCGTGTATACGAACTCTCGGAGCTCCGCGCGGATCTCCTGGATCGGTTCCTGGGCCCCCCCTGGCGGCGCCCCTGGCGCCATCTCTCGACATCGCGAGTCCGAACCCAGTGAGAAATTTGGCCCCGTCGGACTTTCAGCCGGACGGCCCGGCAGGAGTCTGGGCTGAGCCTCGGGCGCCTCCCAGTTACACGCACACACACACACACTTGGCGGTGGGCTGCGTGCACGATGTTCAGTGCCACGTCCTCCTCGGGCGGCTTGCCACGTAATGGCAGCAAGCCGACGGGGCTCGAGCATGCCGCTGGGACAGACTCCTTTGCTATTGTTGTTGTCACCCTCATCGCTCTTCTGCGGGCCAATTGCCCAGTTTTTTTTTTTTTTTTTTCCTCTCTCCCTCTCTCTTTCTCTTCTGACGCCCCGCAAGCTTACGCGACTTCCGCAGGAGGCGATCATGGATCTGGCGCTCTCACAGCCACCACTCTCAAAAAAGACAGCGGCTGCGCAGGTGCACATATTTCGTTTTAATTTGTGGCGCATGTGGGCAACATCTCCGTGCCCGCAATGCGCAGTAGTGAGTAGTTGTGTGTTTCTTCCCCTGGTCAGACTAGACCTGCGATACCCTCCGACCTGCGAGTGTCTCTTTCCCGCCTCCTCCTTCCTCCATCTGCCATTGCTGCGCCCGGACGCTTCCGTCGAGGTTCGGACGGTTCGGCCCTCGGCCTGAGGTCCGCCATGTGTCGGAGGGGTTACCATCCTAGAAGCCTGTTTTCAACAAAGGCCCAGGATGTGACTTCGACGGTGGTTCAGTGAATGGCCTAGGAATTCGACTGGTAATTGTCTACATGGCTCAGTGACACTATTGC